TGGGAGAAGAATTGATCTTAAGGCTAAAAATATCTGCCCAAGATTTATCTCATAAAAAATTCAAGGAACACTTAATAAATATGGAACAACTTGATAATCGAATTCGCTGAACATAGTAAGGCTAATATTCGACTCGCAATATTCTTAGGAGTCGAGCAATAGTTCAACGAAACTGAAGACGACTAAAAAAATAATCGGCTCTTGCTAGACTGGACAATTTTAAAACTTGGCTAAACACTGGAATAATTTAAGTAGACAAAAAGGTCTAAATAAATTATTTATCTCAAATGATTAAAATAGACACTCACATCTGATTAATCAAATTTACTGGTCGAGCTGATAAAATAAAATGCAATAAAATGGATAATATTATAATAAATCGAAATGTCTACTGAAATAAAATCGGGGCGTTACAAAAACTATACACAATTTATTTATATGTTATATTATATGTGGATATCATATTAAAAATAAATTATCTATTTACTTAAAAAAAATCCAAAAATAATCGAAATAAATGAGATTATTTCACGTGCTCCAACAAAATAGATTCAAAACAATATTTTTTGCCAAATTATTAGTACTTACATAATAAGATTATGTAGTATATTTTAGAATTAAAAGATATAGTATACAATAAAAGAAAATGACACTCATGAAGCAAATTTTATATAATAATAATAATAATAATAATAATAATAATAATAATAATAATAATAATAACAATAATAATAATAATATATGAAAATTTGGAATGAAAGCTCACAATAACTATTTTGTATAAGAATTAAGTTTTTGTTTATATATAAAAAAAAATACTCACAAAAGAAAAAAAAAAGAGAAAATTGATGGAAAAAAGAAATGAAAATTCATAATAATTAAAAATAATTTATTATATGCATTAGAGCACCCACAATGCATTGAGTTTAATTTTACATATATGACATATAAATAGACTTAAGTTCTAAATGACTGACAAACTCAAGTAAAAAAACTCAAAAGCTATTCAATGCAAAAATAAAATAATAGGTCTAGCATACATGTCAACCAATAAAAATGCTCTAATATATTTCATTTATTAAAATAAAATTTAAATGAGGAATAAATGATGAGTGCTTGGGTTTGTAATTGGGTTCAAAATAGACCCAACTGTGGACTTGGTCTTTTTTTTTTTATTGACACATAAGCTAGACTATGTCCACCTTTAATTGCATTGGGAGACATTTTCTAATAGACTAAGTTTATTTTCTATGTAGAATAGGATATTTTATTAAGACACCCAATGCATTGTGGTTGCTCTTAGATGCACTAATGCAATTTCAAATATGACATGTAGTTATATATCGCAAAGGCCCTTATAGGGAAATTAATTGCCAAGTGAAGAGTGCACAAAATGAAGTGAACTAAGAAAGAATCAGACATCTCAAATCCAAGTGTCTTTAGTTGAGCCGCTATATCTCTCGTGCGCATGATGTGCTCATGCACACCTCTAATTCTGGTAAGCTTTAGAGAAGATAAATCCATTATAAGGGTACTGGCCAATGCCTTTTTAGAAGAAACAAAATGATCATCAATTGTCTTCAATAACACACGGAAATTGTCATATTGCTCAACCGAAATTTGGATCCCAACAGAAATTTTGGTCTTTATAAACAAAACGCAAAGACGAGTAGATCGTTCCCACCTTTCATAAAGGTACTTTTTGGCAGTAGACACCTTTTGGTAGATACCATCTGGAGAAACGGTGTGATGTCTAGTTATTAATTTTATCCATCACAGAATTAATACCAACCATCCAAGTTGTATGGACTAAGCAGATTAACATTATTTGTACTCCTTACAAAATAGGAACATGTGGACCACTTTAAATTATCTTGTTTATACATGATACAAGATAACTAAGAAAATAAAATACTAACAATATGTTCACTTATGGATCTCAGTATCAGGAATATAAATAATCTTTAGATAAAAAGTTCTTAGTATTACTTAAATAAAATAAAAATAGCAACATTTACATAAGTATATTATTCGAACAATTTTATAAAAGTACACCTAAGCAATCAAATAGTTCAAGTTATAATTTAATTTTTTTTTCGGAACGATAAAGATATTATATAAAAAAAAGCACACAAATGTGCAAAGACAGCCACCAGCTGAATAGAAACAGCTAAAAGTTGAATACAACAAGCCAACAACTAAAACGTGGGAGGACAGGTCCACAAGACCGCCTGAAACCGACCCCAAAGGGGTAATACTGAAAAACACTACAGAAACACAAAAAACAACATAAAGGCCCCAACAGGGTAATACCGAGTGTCAGGCCCCAATAAGATAATAAGGTGACACTCGGGCGCACAGAGACCAAATGGCCCAAACCTAAAACACAAAAACAACACGGATTATAATTTAATTTGGAAGAAGGGGTTGTTATTTCAATTAAAATTATGATGGAGGATATATAATCTCATTGCTTTCATTATGAAATAAAGTATAGTTTGACACAAATGATTTTATTATAATAAAATATTATACTTTTATTTACATTATTTTTATAGGGTATATATTATATATTGAAAAAAAGTCGGATTCACCTCTTATTATTAAACCGCTTGTCCATATCTATCTATATCTATATCTATATTTATTTATATTTATATCTATATCTATCTATACCTATACTACTCTAAAATGACGAGTGTTTTTATAAAAATATGAACTACCTAATTTTTTTCTTACTTTGATATAAATTTAATGGCAAATTAGTAATACAATAATACACATCATATTTTATATTTTTAATTAAAAAACAAACTACCTAATAAACCCTTACTTTGACATGTTTCTAATGAAAAATTAGTAATATACTAATGTCCATCATATCTTATATTTTTAATTAATAATTAATATTAATTAATTAAATATAAATACATGAACAAATCATTCCACACTCCTAAAATCAACTACAATATGTTCGCACCATTATTTCTCACGAATTTATTTTCTTCCACATACCTCTAAAACTGTTTGATATGATTTTAGCTCATGAAATCTTTCATTTTATGAAATCTCATAGATCTGGGAAGAAATGTTATATGGCTCTTAAGATTGATATATGATCAAGGAATTTGATAGAGTAGAATGCGACTCAATTAGGCTCATCATGCTGAAAATGGGATTTTGCACAACTTTTGTGATGTGGATTTTGCAATGTGTTTCATCTGCTTTATTTTCATTCAATATTACTGGTGAGGTCTGTGGATTTGTTAACACTTCTAGAGGGATTAGACAGGGGGACCCACTGTCCCCCTACATATTCATTTTAATTTTTGAAATTCTCTCTTATCTGATTCATGTGGAGATTTCTAAGGGTTTTGGAGGGGATTAAGCTCTGTAGAAATAGGGCAACCCTATCCTCCCTATTTTTTGCAGATGAATCATTACTGTTTGATAAATTAGATGTGCACCAAGCCCTTGCATTGCTTACCATTCTTCAGCATTACCATTCTATTACTAGCCAGAGAGTTAACCTCAAAAAATCCTCAATCTACTGTAGCAAAAACAACCCAATGTCTGTCCAAAATGAGATTGCAACACTCTTATGGGAATCAAACCTCAATCTTTCAAAAACTACTTGGATTTGCCTCTGGGAATTGGGAAGTCAAAAATTGCCATTTTGCCTATATTGAAAAGGTTGTAGCCTTTAGGATAACAAATTGGAAAAACAGGTAGTAGAGAGGTGTTAATGAAAACAGTCCTAGGAGCCCTGCCAACATACTCCATCTCATGTTTTTTGCTTCCCTTAAGAGTCACCAAGAAAATATCAGCAACTATGGCCAACTTCTAATGGAAAACAAACAGCAACAAGGATAACATCATACACTAGAAAGCATGGCATAAACTGACTCTTCCTAAAAAGCTGGGAGGCCTAGGATTTCAAGATCTGCATTCTTTCAACAGGGCTCTAATAACCAAGTAGCTGTGGAGACTATTGACTCTTCCAAATCTCATGGTCCTCAAAGCTAGGTATTTCCCTAAGGATGACTTCTTTACTGCAAAACAGAAAGGGAATTGCTCATGGCTATGGGCTAGTTCGCTCAAACAAAGAGATCACTTCAAGATGGATTGAGATATGTAATTGGGGATGGTAAAAGTATGAAGGTCTGGGATCACTCATGGGTGCCAAATATTCCAGGACTAAGACCCCATCCCAGGAACAACATTAAGACACACATACTGTGGGTCAAAGACCTAATGGAAGAGAGGTTTGTAGTATTTTTGGGCATGTGGTAACCGAGTTACCCCGACTGGGGTCGTTCTCAAAGGAAGGTTGTTCAGAGCTTCGTTCACTACCTAGTCGTCAAAGTCACATAACCGAAAGCAAGATCCTACACATTCTACTCGTTTGATGGGGATTGATTTCACATGAAATTGAACTAACAATCTAGAGCAAATGAAAGTAAATGATGCAAGATGAAAACTTTAGGTCAACAGGAGTCTCTGTCACTCGAATAGACATGACGAACCAAGCAACATCATTGTAGCCATGTGATCCTAGGTGATTAAATCGAGCTTTCTAACTAATGACTACGCTTAAAACCAAGTTGTGCCATTTACACAAGATAAGCATGAACTAATCCCTAATACACCATGATGAGCAACAAAAATCAATCATTCCTCCATTCAACAAGCAAAACCAAATTCACCTTGAAACACATCATAAGCAAAAACGGGCAAAATGAAGTAATGAGTATTAAAGCTAATTACCCACTCTCCTAATGCATGCGTGAAGAACACTAGATGTAAAAGTTCGAATCTTGAAATAAAATAATGTCACCGAAAACTTGTCGAAAAATTAGAGTAATAAAGCTCCAAACGAAAGCATAAAAAGAAAAGAGAGAAAATTGAGAGGATTTCCCAACTTAAAAGTTGGGAACTGATGGTAGATTTTCCAAAATCACAAAGCACAATGTCTTTTTATAGCTACACCACAAACACACACTAAAAACACACACATTTAATGAAATGCTGAACTTCGCGGGTCTCGAAACGGAGTTCGCAGCGAGTTTGGGCATAGAGTAGTGCAGAAACGGCTGTTCGCAGGTCGCGAAAGGAAGTTCGTAGCGGGTTCTGAGCCTAAGAAGTTGTGGTGCGCGTCTCGCGGGTCGCCAACCGCGTTTTGCCAGTGAGTGCTTGGGAATTGAGTTGTTGATGCACGGCTTTGCGACACGCGAATGGAAGTCTGACAACGAGTTCTTGCGTAGGGCTTGGCTGTGCGTGCGATGGCCGTTTCGCAGCACGCGAATGAGAGTCCGCCAGCGAGTGCTTGCGTCCTTGGGCTGCACCAACCCAGCTAACTCCTCTGGTCCGACTCTGTAACCTGAAAAACATAGAAATCGTGGGGCGTGAGCACTAAAAGCCACTGTGCTCCGCAGGAACTCATACTAAAGTAAACAGTGAATATAATTGCAATATCATGATCCTGGCATATACATGAACTGAACTGAACTGAACTGAAACCGGTATCTGATCCTGATATTGTGATAAACATCACCTGACTGATACATCTGCCATTATAAAAATGTCGGACACCATGTGCACACTCTAGTGGGCAGATAAGGCCACTAGAACCCAAAATGGACCGGCGACCATTCCAAGCGGATACTGATAATACATACCTCAAACATGGTAGAGCAATTATAATCATTATAATACCCAGTCTGAGTCCCCACCTGAACTGCTGATCTGAAAATGTAAGTGCTGATCATCTGCAAACTGTGACATATATAAACAAATACTAAGTACTATGCCCAGACTTATTAAAATAGCAGTTAAGATGCTCGACTGAATTAACATGACTTAACTGGACTAACTGATTTGACATGGCTACCAGCCATTATACATTCATATTGTGCTTCCGCTATCATTTTAAGACTTCTCAACTGGCGTGTTAGTTTTCATATGTTAATCCGATTTATCGGTCAGACTTTTATAAAGTATTACATGCTAGTTGATTTTAAAATAATCTGTTTATTCTTCAAAGTTAAATTTAAATAAAGATAACAGATTTTCAAGCAATGCATGTTTTAGTAGCATCCCGATAAGGATTTCGCAAATAAATATGTTTTATTAAGAAAAGTTTTGCGAAAAACGCACTCTGATATTTATGGAAAAAGCGGGGTATTACAGTTGGTATGCGCGCGCTGGTTGTTCGCTGCACGCGAACTGCAGCTCATGCTGAGTGCCGAGCCAAGCCTTCTTTGTGTGGTTAGCGGCCCGTCAAAGTGGTTTCGCGGGCGAGTGCGGCCTTCAATTTGATCTCTTCACCCGGGTGACTCCCTCGGCTATTCTCTCCCTTGGAAACTTATGGGATTCGATCCAATGGCTCGACTATCTCGTCTCAGAATGGCTAGAATGGCATGAACCACCAGAATTATAATTTCGGACCTAAACATCACACTAAAAGAGACGTGAAAATACGGCAAAATACAAAAACATATAAAAAAAAATAAAAACACATAAAACACGATAAAATGGACCGGTTGACACAAAACTGAACCTAAAAATGACTCAACTCAAGCACATAAAACATAATAAAATACCTCAAAAACATAACAAACAACACCCCCACACTTAACTCTTTGCTTGTCCTCAAGCAGACAAAACAACAAGTAGCTCAAAAAGAAAAATCGAGAAGTCCAAAATTAGCGAGTATGCAAAATGAAACTCTCATCTTCATCCGGATATCCATAAAATCAAAATTCAATCCGAGAACACGGTCCCTACTCTCATCTTCCTACGAAGCGCTCAATTTAATGTCCTGAGCTTGACGTCCTCAACAAAAAATCAACCAGGATCCTAGAAAAAGTGTCGGTCATGCCACGCCTTTGTATTTTCCAAGAGTAGACGAGCCGGTAACACAGAACAAAGGCGGGCCATATACACTCTCGTGGTCGAGTTCTTGTGAAATCGAGCACGGATATCAACAACCACCAATAGGAGAGATGAATCTTTACGAACTGAGACCCCATACTCGACCTCCGAAAATATAAATGTAATAGCCCAGTTTGTTATTAATAAAAGCAATGTATTTCCTTTTGTTAATAATGTTCATTTCAGCTTTCCCGTCAATAAGTTCGACTTTAAGTCGAAAGTCTATTCGGTTTATTTTAATCGAGTTCATTTCAAAATTTAGTTCCCAAAACGTTTATTTTTATAAACGAATATTATTAGTCGGGATTAATTATTGGAAATCAAGATTATTCGAATTAATTTCCTAAGTCAGGTTGTAACCGAAAATGAGTAAATTCGATTTAGATTATCATGTGTACTCACTATTCCTATACAACGATGCGTTCACATTGGTGCACCGTCCACTTGGGCCATGCGCACGCCACATGCGATATCGCACTGATGAAGAATCGCGGTTCTTGTCTGTTCGGGTGTGAATAATCGCGCACTCAGGGTCTTCGACTAGACACGATAGGTGTGACTTCAAGACGCACTCAAGGCCTTCTCTCACTCACGGTTGTATGATAAACATGCACTAACGGCCTTGCTTAAACACACGATTGAACATAACGTTCTTTTCTATTCATTCATCCAACTTCTTAACTTCTCAAAAACAGTGGGGGATCATCCCTATTTATAGATCCTAATTACCTCTAGTTTTAATCTAATTAGGGAACTTATTAAAGCAATAAAATATTAAATCCTAAGGTAAGTAAATATCCTACTACCATAAAATCCTAATATTACTATAACTCCTAATTACTTAACTTGCACTCTAATTAGCTTGATGCCCAATTCGCCGCCTCAAATCCTTTTGGCCACCTCATACGCGCACCGCCTTTGGGCTTTCCTAATCCTCGGCGCGTGAGGCATCGCGCGCCTCGTCCCTTTCGCATGCGCACGCCCTAGTGCGCGCCCAACCCGCACCGCCTTACCTTGCGCGTGCGTCCCCGCGCTTGGCACGCCTACGCCTATGCGGACTAGGACGTCCGCGGCCCCTCCGCACTCGCGCACTTTCGCGCGCCCATCGCCTCGCCCGATCTCCTCGCACGCGTGCGTTCCGCAGCCCATCACTCCTATACCCGCGCGGTCGAGGACTCCACCTGCGTCACTCTCACTTGCGCACGATGCGTGCCCCGCACGCCCTTCACCTGCTGCTCCACGCATACCGCCAACGCCCGCGGTCTGCTTGCCTGCTGCACACCCGCATGCACCCAACGCTATCCCGCATCTATCCCAATTGCGCGCATCAGGGCCCGATGCGCACCACTTGCATTTTAGCTCCCCATTTTCACTAGCCTTGCCGGTGTTGATCTTCATTTTCGTATCATTCCCCTCCTCTTCAAGACTTTCCTTGTCCTTAAGGATAAGCAAGTTCAGCACATCCACATCACTATCACTATCCTCTTCAATAGGAGAGTCACCTTGATTTTCAGTTCTCAACTTAATTCGTTTCCCTGGTCGACCAAAATCCATCTTTCCTCGCTTATAGTCGGTCGTAATGGGCCCAAGTGTTTCCAGCCACTGCACTCCCAACACTACATCAGTTGCCTTAAGTGGTAAGGCGCAGAGGTCAATCTCCAACTCTCGTTCCTGAGCCATGATTGGAACCTTCTTGAATAACTGATTACCCTGAAGTTCATGTCCATTGGCTACCTTAACCCCAAACCTCTTGACCCTAGTGGGTTCCAACTTCAGCCTCTTGGATATCCTTTCATCAATAAAATTCAGACTTGACCCACTATGCACCAATACCTCCAACAACATATCCTTTATCTCAGCAGTAAACCTGATCATCTTTGGGCCTCGTTTTTTGCACTTGACCACATGCAACAAGGTCTCTTCAAGTGGTTTTCTCTCTTGTTCCTCCTCAAACTCAAGAAGGAAAATTTTTTTACCTTTGCACTTGTGGCCCGGTGTAAATCGCTCGTTGCATGTAAAACATAGGCCCTTCTTCTTTCGCCTTTTGATTTCGTCATCCGTCAGCCTTCGCATACTACTTGGGGTGCGTGTACCTTTGCTGACTGCCAACTTGGTCTCAGCCCGTGGGGGCGCCTCGTCGGTTACCGCGCTTGCGCGCCTTGGTTTCGTGCGTGTGTCACCCCGTACTGCATTGCACACGGCCGCTAAGTGGTCTTCATGCAACCGTGCGGCCTCCATCGCAGCTCTTGTTGACCTCGGCCTCTCCAAGCGTACCTCCGCAGCTAACTCGGCCTTCAAGCCTACAACAAATGCACCAACAAATGCACTCTCGGGCCAATCACGTACCCGACTCGCAATCTTTTCAAACTTATTTTGATACTCCCATAAACTACCAACTTGCTTAATTCAAGACAGAGCTTCATCATAGTCAATGTAATCACTAGACCCAAACCTTGTGATGAGCTATCTTTCAAAATCCCTCCAGCGCATGTGCTTACCGTTATTTTTATGCAAAATCCTTTGCCACCATACATTTGCTTCCCCATCGAGATGATAAGCAGCAATTTGAACTCTTTCGTACCTTAGCACATCGTTGATCTCAAAAAATTGCACAGCCCGACTTAACCATGCATCCGGATCTACTCCCGTGAATGTGGGCATAGTCAACTTCGGCCGTGTGTAAGCCTGTTCGTTGCGTCGTTCGTCGCGGTCATGATTTTGTGCACGTTCCCTGTGCCGTTGATCGTCGCGCCTCCGGTCCTCGTGGTGAAAGCGCCGCTCGTTGTGCGCTCGCTATGCGTGGGTTGCGCGCGTGTAGTCGACGCCTGCGATCGCCGATCGTCCTCGTGCTAGGTCCCCATGCTGCTCGATGCCGTGGTGGACCGTGCCTCGCGAATCCTCCTTGGTCGGTGCGTCATGCGCGTGAGCTGTTCGGCCAGATCATGGACCATAAGCTCGATCCTTCTCAAGTTCTCGTTGGTAATATGTTGGCTTTCTCCAACGGTCTTCACCGCTTGGATTCTTTCACGGTTTGACATCATGAATTTCTCTCTTTTTTTTAAGACTCTAGAAAAAATAACAAAAGACTAGATGACACTTTTTTTTTTTTTGATACTCTGAAATTTTCGAAAAAATAAGAGAAAAAGAAGCAAAAATTCGAACAAAAATTTGAAAAAAAAAACAAGAAAAATTCGGCCCCCTCAGCCAAAGGCAAAACCGAAAAAAGAAAAAGATAGATAGACAAAAATCACGATCAAGCACTCTCAACGAAAGCACCAATGATGAATAGATCGAGGTTTCTGTTTATTCGGGTGTGAATAATCGCGCACTCAGGGCCTTCGACTAGACACAATAGGTGTGACTTCAAGACGCTCTCAGGGTCTTCTCTCACTCACGGTTGTATGATAAACATGCACTAACGGCC